AACTACAAAGACATTCCTCACGTACCTCTTTCCTTTCTTGAAGTGGCAACTGTACTTAGGATAATCGTAGAGTTCAGTCATTCGTTCTTTGAACAGTCCTCTGACAGGACACTGCTCGAGAAAGGGTACTGTAAGCTTGTTCTGAGCCTCCACAAATGCCTGAAAGAAAACAATCCACCCAAAAGAGACATGAACTCAAGCAGAAACATGTTTCCCACAGGAAACCCTATTTTCTGAAGCAATGCATCACAGACATCTTCCCCACATATAGGTCGTACAGAGTGTTACACCTGAAGATTCTTATACACTTACATTACGGGATGCTGGGGAGGAAGTCCTCGTTAGGGACTGTAGTGATAGGACAAGGGGTAACAGGTTAAAACTTAAACCCGGGAAGTTTAGATTGGATATAAGGAAGAAGTTCTTTACTGTAAGGGTGGTGAGGCACTGGAATGGCTTGCCCAGGGAAGTCATGAATGCTCCATCCCTGTGGGGGTGTCCAAGGCCAGCTTGTACAGAGCCTTGGGTGAGATGGTTTAGTGTGAGGTGCTCCTGTCCATGGCAGGGGGGTTGGAACTAGATGATCTTAAGGTCCTTTTCAATCCTAATTATTCTATCATTATGCCACAATACTGTAATAAGACTGATCTTATATCCTGAAAAACTTCTCTCCATGGCATGCACTGAGGAAGCCAATGTTCTGGCCCAAAACAGCCCAGATTCCTGCCATTACTCTTAAAAAGAAAAAAAAATCAAAAAAACACCCAAGCATTATGCTTTTAAAAACTGCCTTTATATTTACCTAAATGGCATAGAAAAGCTACAGTATATACCCTTGAGATACCATCTTCTCCATCTTCCCTTACTTCATCACAAATATACATCACTCCAATACTCTACAATAAGAAACAAAGAAGAGAGTCCCTTTTGCCCACAGACAGCACTACTATTTCAAGACTCAGAAAGGGCTGAAAGATGATACAAAACATCATGTGCACCATCTGTTCATCCTATTAACATAACACAGAGGATTAGTCCCAGACAGTATTTCCTGGAAAGGTCAAAGCACTGTCCACAGATCAGTTCTTAGTTACAAAAGTCAAGAGTACCTAATCTTGGAGAAGGTAACTTTGAGGAGTCTGATTTCTTTCTCTGAGTCACAAACACTTAAGGACAGTGGCCAAAACCATTACTACTCCAGCTTTTTGTATAGGCTGCCACTCCCATGGCATGCACAGAAAAAAATGGCACTCAGTGTTAGACCATTTCTATTTATAGCACAATACATTAACATAAAATTAATACCTAAGTGTCTTAAGGGCAACCACAGCTACTAAGAAGCAGACATGCAGGCTCTTCAGTCTCTAACATAGAGCAGGAAGGACAGGACACAGTGTAAGTGATTGATTCACTGCCAGATATCACAATGATGGCTGCAGTACCACTCTCGGACCCCACCCTCTTTCCTCCAGCCTTAAACGCTGTCCACTCATCTCTTGCTTACACAGGTCTCTTTCCCAGTTGCTCTGAAAGATGCTATAAATCAGTCACACAACAAGCATATGAACACAGGACAACTACAAACGACAACAGTGAACTGCATTGCAGGGCATAACCCACAGAAACAGAAGGGCTACAATCCATATTCCATAACTTGAATTTGACAGTTCTTCAGAAAAGCCAGCTGCTGTACAGAGTACCTGGCATACATTCACCAATTGTTACGAATGTTTACTCATTTACTAATTCTTCAGGTGAAAAGATGAAAGAATACAGCATAAAACCCTTTCAGCAGCATTTTACAGACATGTCACATTGTGAGAAGTGAGCACGTGGGGCAAGTAGAGAGAAACTCTCCCTCCCATTTACCTTGCTGACTCAGCTATGCCTAGCCAAGAGCTGCACTACATGCCAAGCTGTGTTTTCAGAGCCTTGCCAGGACAAAAGGTAAAGGTGAAAGTGCATTAATTATGGTCAGTCTCCCCCTGAGATGTGTTTGTTCATGCCTAGCAAAGCATACAGAAACTGATAAGCTTTAAACACGTGAGTGCAGAATTAGTAATGCTCTAAGAGCACTGGGCTAAGTGCTGAAACATACTAGTTTAACAACACATGGTTTGGCTACACACAAGTCAACACTCAAGGATGACATAAGAAAGCAAGCACTATAGCACTGAAAATGAACAGATTCAGAAGGCTGACAATGATGACTTTTGGACCTTTATTCAAAATTAGACTTTACACATCAGCAAGAATCAAATCAGGAAATGACACCTTAAGAAAAAGGGAAAAGATGAATGCATTGCCAAAGAAAGGCAAATTTTTGCTTCTGATCTCCCTTTGAGGATCATAGTGGCAACAGACAGCTTTAATACCCAGCATGGCAGTACAGCACATCCTAGTGGTAAGTGAAAAATAACATGCAGCCTTCACACACACCCCACACCCCCCCCACAATCAGATGATGGAAAAAACTTAACAAACTCTACCCAAGAATTATGTGTATCTGAGTTTGTTTTCTCTAAATGGAAATGCAAATTTTAAAGACCACATATACAAAAATCTAGACAGCACATGCTACACAAATAAACTACTCAAATTGCTGTGACATTTTCAGAGCAAAGATGTCTTTAAAAAGCATGTATAAAACCATCCATTGCACTGAATGGGCAAAAGCACTTTCCAGTTGCATTTACTGGACAGAAAGTGGCACACATCTCTTTCATCTATCAACAGTGCAATCAAAACAGTAACACTGCTGCAAAGGCATACTAGAACTGTGCGTTACTCACTTTTAACTGCACAGCCACACCTTAGCACATCTGCTTTCATTACTTTCATTTCATTCAAAGAGAAGACACAAACTTTTCTTTACAAACATGGTAAGAATGCACAACAGCATGCTCACATACTAACTACTGCACTCACAGCTGAATCAGTAGTAATTCTGTTTCTAGAGAAACTTAATACAGTTTTCTCCTTTACCCTTAGCATGCAACAAAGATTCGAAGACTATTTGTAAAAGGGAATGACGCTGCTACCTGAAAAAGGAGGAACGAATTACAGGTTTTTGAAAGAGCTCCACTGAGAAGAATCCAGCCCAGTCTGGGAACTCTGTTGTTCTTACACTTTTAAGTACAAGGTTGTACTTACGTTCAAAAAGCAATACATAATTGAAATATTGCCCTACAGGAACAGATGTCAGCAGAAACTTTCAGAGTAACCAACTCCATCCACCACGCTGAGCTAAACAGATGCCACCCAGGCTATAGGGCTAACAGTAACTGTGTATCTTCATAAGCCTATACAGAAAGATTCTTATTTTGCCTGTAGAAACCTACATCTCTTGATTGATCGTAAGCATTGAACCAGGACAGAATTTGCTAGCAGAAGAAAGGACAGAATAAGGGTCTAGGTGAAAGACTTTGCTATGGTCTAAAAAACTGCTTATTTCCCACAAAGTGTTAAAAACAAACCAAGAAGTTGAGAAGTCCCTCCAAGTCAAACCCAAGACCACAGTAAAAGTGTACATTTGCAGTTGTGGCCTATGTTGTCATCAGAAGTGTTTTACCAGTGTTAACAGAACTTTTCAACTATGCTGGGGATAATTCCTCAGTCTATCTTGAAGGTCAGTGCAAAGGTAGTAGCAAAGCAAGAACCCACATTCTCCATTTCCTCTCTCCAACATGAGGTAGGAACTTTCCCATCTGACCAGGGGCTCAGTTTTTATTTATGTATCTGGAGAAAGGAGTTTTGTTTGCTTACGGCTGCACATGACTACTCCAGCCAAGCATACAGAGGGAAAAAAAAGCATGCAGGTCATGAACATGAAAGAACATACTTCTTGAACAACCGCTTTTCCAAATGAGATAGAGGATGTGGCTTGATTGAGCTTAACCAGCAATAAGACTGAGCATCTGACAAGAAACAGTTTTGCTTAGCCACCTGCAGATTTCAATAATCTCATTTTTGTAGTAGATTATATATACACTATATATGAAATACGATCATGTTAGTGACCTGGCTGGCATCTTCTATGAAAGAGGTACAAAAAGCAAAATACTTTATTTCCCTTTGATCATTAATTCCTGGAATTTTGGAAAAATATGACATACAAAAGAACTCCCTCTACTCTTTGCATCATACTACTACTGCACTGCAAAATTCTGCCAAGGCATGTGTTTTTAGAGTGTAGGCAAGTAAGATTCAACAATATTTTCATTCCACCAACATGACATCTTATGTCTTGATTGCTGCATTTTTAGGAAGATGTTATAATCCCCCATTCCTTATTTTGCTTCCTGTATAAGCTACAACCTCTGGAGAATGAGATTCACCCTTCTCCAACTGTTCTCACCCAACCTGTTCATAATGTGTCATGAGAGAATTAAACACTGTCAGGTCTTGACATTTTCTCAATCCTAACTCTTCCATAGGATCCTGTAAACCACTTCAATAGATATTTGTAAGGCCGCTGAAAGGCAGACATAACCATATCTCCCCACACATACTTCCCTCTGAATCTGGCACAAACTATTGTACGTATATTGTTTCTTAAGGATGCCAAAATCAAAAAATCAAAATACTCCCAACTTTCTAAGTATCTAATTTTCAATGTTGTCCTGGGCTCAGTAGTAGCAGTCATTTTTCTCCTTCTTAGTAGCTAGTGCAGTGCTGTGGTTTTGACTTTCGGCCTGGGAACAGCACTGATAACACCGATGTTTTTAGTTGCTGCTCAGTAATGTTTACTCTGACCAAGGACTTTCTGAGTCTCATGCTCTGCCAGGGAGGAGGGGAAGCTGGGAGGAAGTAGAGACAGGACACCTGAACCAGACTAGCCAAAGAGGTACTCCATACCACAGCACATCATGCCCAGTATATAACCTGGGGGCAGTTACCTGGAAGGGCTAGATCACTGCTCGGGTCGGGCTGGGTATTGGTCGGCGGGTGGTAAGCAGTTGTATTCTCTCCCTTTCTTTTCCCTTATCATTATTATTACTGGTGGTAGCAGTAGTGGCTTTGTGTTAATACCTTAGTTACTGGACTGTTCTTATCTTAACCCGTGGGAGTTATATTCTTTCGATTCTCCTCCCCATCCCTCTGGGAGTAGGGGGGAAGAAGCAAGGGGGGAGTGAGCAAGGGGCTGCGTGGTTCTGAGTTACTGGCTGGGCTTAAACCATGACAGTTCTTTGTGGTGCCCGACATGGGGCATCAAAGGGTTGAGATAACAACAGATCTGACTGGATTGTGTCTAATCGTATTTGTGATAAGCATTTATTGTTTCGGATTAATAGTCACTCGTCACAATGCTGATTTATTGGCTCTCAAAGTTGCTGCTCTTGATTTCAGAGTTTCAGCATGTTGAACCTTACTTACAGCCAGTATTTGCTGGTTTAGTGTTTATCGGCTGGAAGGCTTGGGCTAAGGTTCTTGTTTCACTGTACTTTATGCTAATGACTTGTAATACAATAGACTCACTGATCATAAAACTGCTCTGGTTTGAATTCCCAGTGTGGTCATCACCTCTATACTTTGGGAGATATATAATGGAAGTGTTTAGCAATTACACATCTTTATTTTCCTCCTTGAATGGTCAACCTATGAAGGAGACATTCCGTTATGCTCCCAGCTCCCCCACCAGTCTATTTACAGCATCATTTGAGAGTTCTGAAGGTTTTGAATGGCCTTTGGGTACCCTTAAGACCTGCCTGCTCATTGTGATGGGGATTAGCATGCTGGTACACGTACAGAGTGTGTTTCACCCATGACCATTTCATCTGATCTCAAAAGTTAAGCAGAGTCAGGTTTGGGTCTTATCTAGGGTTAGATGATGATATAGGAGGACCAAGAGATTTTCCCCAAGGCTGGACAGTTTTGAGTGGCAGGGTGTGTGGGACAGTATGGGAAAGTATCTAGGCCAGTGGGCCCCTCCAGTGCTTTGGAAGCATCGGAGATGGAAGGCAACTGTATGGAGTACCCAACGACAAGTTGCAGAAACTGCTGAAGGAGAGGGTGAATGGAGTCAGTCTGCTGAGGTGAAAGCCATCCAGCTGGCCTTGGACATTGTTGAACAAGAAAAGTGGCCAGTACTTGATCTCTATACTGACTCATGGATGGTGGCAAATGCCCTGTGGGGATGGTTGCCTCAAAGGAAGCAGAGCAACTGGCAATGCAGAGGAAAACCCATGTGGGCCACTGCACTGTGGCAAGATATCACTGCCCAGGTGCAGAACCTGGTGGTGAAGGTACACCGTGTAGATAGATGCTCATGTACCCAAGAGTCAGGTCACTGAGGAACACCAAAACAACCAACAAGTGGATAAAGCTGCTAAGATTGAAGTGGCTCAGACAGACTAAGATTGGCAACATAAGGGTGAATTATTTTTGGCCTGGTGGGCCCATAACACCTCAGGCCATCACGGCAGAGATGCAACATACAGATGGGCTTGTGATCAAGGGGTGGACTTAACGATGGACACTATTGCCCAGGTTATTCACAAGTGTGAAACATGTGCTGCAATTAAGCAAGCCAAGCGGTTAAAGCCTCTTTGGTATGGAGGAGGATGGCTGAAGTACAAATACAAGGAAGCCTGGCAGACTGACTATATCGTACTCTCTCTCCTGCTCTGAAAGACTCTTACAAGAGACAGAACCCGCCATCATGGACCGGATGAACTCAGCAGCTTTAAAGGGATTGGTCCATGCACTAAGGAATGATATCTCTCACTCTGTGTGTATGTGTGTGTGTATATATATATATACACATATATATATATGAGATGAGTGATGGTATATTGAAAAATGTGGGATCTGAGCACGACATGAAGGGTATGGAATAAGGGGTGGATACTGTCCTGGGTTCAGCAGTAGCAGTCATTTTTCTCCTTCTTAGTAGCTGATGCAGTGCTGTGGTTTTGACTTTCGGCCTGGGAACAGTTCTGACAATACCGATGTTCTTAGTTGCTGCTCAGTAATGTTTACTCTGACCAAGGACTTTCTGAGTCTCATGCTCTGTCAGGGAGGAGGGGAAGCCGGAAGGAAGTAGAGACAGGACACCTGAACCAGACTAGCCAAAGAGGTATTCCATACCACAGCACATCATGCCCAGTATATAACCTGGGGGCAGTTATCCAGAAGGGCTAGATCACTGCTCGGGTCGGGCTGGGTATTGGTTGGCAGGTGGTGAGCAGTTGTATTCTCTCCTTCTTATTTCCCTTATAATTATTATTATTGGTGATAGGAGTAGTGGGTTTTGTTATACCTTAGTTATTGGGCTGTTCTTATCTCAACCCATGGGAGTTACATTCTTTTCATTCTCCTCCCCACCCCTTCGGGAGCAGGGGACGGGGTGAGAAAGAAGTGGGGGAGTGAGAGAGGGGCTGTGTGGTTCTGAGTGACCAGCTGGTCTTAAACCATGAAAAATGTTAATGTCAGTGCCAGAGTTTTTCAATAAACCCTGTTCTCAAACGGACCTTCTTAATCCGCATGAGTCTGCTGATAGATTTGTAAGAAGGCAACTGGATCCTAACTGTACAGACAGTAAGTTCTATTTGACTACCCTTTAGTTCATCAAGATCTATTATGCAAGCACGTAGATGAGAGAATCTAGAAGAAATCTCACTAATGGAAAGCCACCCTGCAGAATATTTTTAAACAGAGATCCTGCCCTCCATCATCTTTCTGACACTGTAACACATACTAGATATACACCAGTGATTTAGATCTGGAACTACAGTTATCACAAAATCAGCCATTACAGAGGAAATGCCTTCCACACTGTCACCTACCACTTTCTGGCCATCACCCCTGCAATGGCCTGTGCCTTGACTATCGGAGGAACTGGCTCACAGTCACACTTGTTCTTTTTCAGGATTATCTCTCAGCAAAAGACCAGTTCCAGCAGCACAGGCTAGCTACACCAGATGCAGGCTGAAAAACACTGCAACATCTGTAATAAGAGAGACTAATAAAGCCTAACTTCAGGAGGAAAATGGGTTTGTCTGTTTTTAAAAAGGGATAAGAAAATAAAAGATTCATACACTGTCACTGTACGAAGAAAGCAAGCCAAAGGAGTTTCCTTTCTACCCTTTTTTATTATGGCAATTATGGCATTTATTATTTATTATGACAAATTTAGATGCACTTAGGACAGTGGATAAAGCACTCTAAAAATCAGTGTTTCCCTTCAGTGTGATGACACCATCTTCAGCATTCATATCGTCCAAGAAAAATGGGTCCAAGGCCAAGACAAGGCCTTAAGTTTACCAGATTCTGTTATCTAGGTGATACCAAGTGTTTTAGTCTTTCCCCCACTAACACAAAGGTACAAAATAATGGCATTGCTGTTGGCTCCAAAAAGCCTTGGCAGATCCTTGAAAAACAGAGTACCCATGCACCTAGTCTATAAAAGAGAACCATGTAGAGACAGCTACTCCCATTCAAAGAAAGGTTACCTTTGTCTGTTCACTGTCAGGATCTTCGAGCCAGCAGTATGGGTCGCTTATTTTACAGCCATGATAATCCAACACCTGAATTTATAAAAGACAGTACTTTAAAAAAAGATATGCACAGATGCTATTCACCAAGAAATGACAGGCATTGAGATGAAGGGTATTTTTGAATTTCATAAAAGAAGATAGCGCTAAGCAGCAAAGGAAGAGAAAAGCAACACCTTGCTCACACATGAGTTGCTAAGATTACCACCCTTTACTGGCACCAAGGCAGCAGACTTGTCCTCAGAAAATACACAGAAAATACCAGGGAAATACAGAACATGAATATAAATTCCTTGTACAAGATAAGACTAATAAAGTAATAATAGGAATAAAAACAAACCAAGAAACGATGAAAAAACAAACCCCCCCAAAAAACCCCAAACCTCCTTCAAATCCAGCATCCAAGTCAAATCACAAAACCTGATTACTGGATGCACCCAAAATATGCCCTACCTACTACTGCTACTCACAAACATGTGAGTGAAGTACATACATAAACTAAAACAAACAAACAAAAAAACCCTAACAAAACACAAAAGACTAACTTTATCTACTTCCTTCCTCCAATGCACAAAATAAGACCAGACACCTGCCCTCAGGAGTTGCATAGTTCAGCCTTTCAGTCAACTATGAAAGCAAATACTTCATTTTTTTCCAGTGTTGGCTCATATTCGCAAACATTTCTGTTCAAAAGTAATGTCAGCTCTGTAAATAATTCCTGTACTCAACCCTTTGCAGAAGGCAAAGGCAACCGAACCCATTTCAGCCAAACTTCCACTATAATCCTTGCATATCAAGTTACTACGGATCACAAGCAGATGGAACCATCGTTTAAAAACAGACTACCTGTCCCTCCGCACGCAACTACAGCCTTCGTTGAGGCCTGGACTTCCTTGTCCGCACAGCCGTACTGAAGCGGCGGGATCTGCACGCCCGCCCGGCAGCCGCGAATCTTGCTCCCACTGCTACCCTGTGGCCCCGGTCCGGCTCCCGGCCCGTCAGCCTACCTCGGGCTGCGCTGACCCCGCACACGCGAGACGTGCCCGCAGGCACCGGCACGACGGGCAAGAATCCTGCTTTTACCCAGGCCCGGCAGACGCCGCGGCCCACGGCCGCTAAAACCCCACACCCTTTGAAGAGAGCCCGCTGCGGTTTTAACGGCCGAGGCCGAACAAAGCCTCGAACGCCGAGAAAGCACTAACACCCCTCCCCCGAGGCGGCCCACCGCGGCACGGAGAGGGCTGTCGAAAGAGGCTGTCCCGCGGCCGGGCCCGGCAGCCGCCACACGCCATCCGCCACACGCCCGCGGGCTGCCCCGGCGAGTGTCCTACTCACGGCGGTCTCGTCGCGGTACACCTCGGGGTACTGGAAGGCCTGCATGGCGGGCGGCAGCGGAGAGAGGCGGTGAGAAGAGGAAGATGAGGAGGACGAGGAAGATGAGGAGGACGAGGAGGACGAAGAGATGCGCGGAAACGAACACGAGGCTCCGACTCGAGCTGTAGCGGCAGCCGACAGCAAGCGTGCAGCGCGGCCCAGGCGGAGCGGAGCCGCCATCCGGCCCGCCCCCTGCCGGTGGGCCGTGCCGCACAGCGCCGCCTGCAGGGAGCCGCCGCACTGTCACCGGCGGGCTGCTGAGAGCCGCGCGGGCGGGGCGGGGCCGGGCCGGGCGAGCGGGCCGCGAGCGTGTGCACTGCCCTTGGTCTGTGCTCGTCCCGTCTGGCGCGCCCTGCTCCGGCAGTGGAGTTGTTTCGCTGTCACCAGGTGGAGAGCGTGTTCCATCTTCCCCATACTGAATGCTTAAAAAAAAAGAATAACGGGGTTTTATTCTTTCAGCTTATTTTTCCTCTCACTCCCCAGCTTAACGCAGGCTGTGTGGGGAGCTCAGGCTGTGCACTGCCGGGAAGACAGCAGCTGTTTCACGGGTGGGGGCTCAGGCTGCTCAAGGCTCGCCCAAACCTGGATTACATTTCCATTTCAAACACGCTTCTCTGCACGTTACCGAATCTCCCCTTCACCCAAAAAGCAAAGGCGAAGCTCCAGCATACCAGCCTGGGCGGTGTTTGTCTTGCTCACTGCCTGTGCCAGGAGCTCTGGTCTGCGGCCTGTGCAGCCACTCTGGTGTTTCAAGTGGGCAACCTCGGGCTCACCCCCCAGGTGTTTGTTTTACAATAGTTTTCTGGGTTAGAAAACTTGCAAACGTTTTTCCTTCATCAAGATTTTCCTTCCAGGTAGTGACCCAGAGAGCCCCCGTACACTGGAAACACTCAGAGGACGAGCTGTTGTTTGGCCAGCAGCATGGCTGAACTGGTGTTCTTCCAAATAGTCCTTCCTTCAGAGTTGCAGCAGCAGCCTCGCCCAGGTGTCCTGTCAGCCTGGGAGAGACTTCCCTGCAGCTCCTCCAGGATAAACTCATGTGTAGGTGGGATGTGTGGCACCAGCTGGAGACAAGGTTTGCATGCCATGGTGTTCAGAGGTTCCGTCAGCCCAAAGAGCATTCACAGTTGTGAATAAAGTAACTGCCTGGGATGACAGTTGAAACAAGGAGGAGTTTTCTCGGAATCACAGTGATGTAAAACATTTCAGAAATGGCAACAAGCGTTTATAGTTACCTGCTCATTTACTCTTAATGAAATGTTGCCATCTCTAATTGGGCATCCTGTGGCGAGGCTGAGGTTTGTGTGCATAAGAGGAAATAAGCCAGCCCCATAATGATGACTATTACTGACATAACTTGTGTTCATCAGCTTCACTTCCATCCTAAACAACACCTACACAGCTTCTTGTCTCTTGTTCCATCTGCTTTGGTCATTTTTCCTTTTTGCCTTGTTTTTCTGTTAAACTCCTCCCTTTGCAAGGTAGGAGCACAGCTGCCCACTACACGGTCCATTGTGGCACTCACGAACAGGCAACCAGCACAGTGGTTAATGGCAATGCCCTGACATGCCCATTGCTGATAAAAGCTTGCTAATTGTCTGAGCAACTTGCTCAGGTAAATAATGGCAGGCAAAGGTTGCTGCATTTCTGTCTAGAGCTTCCTGCACAGATCATGTACGGACAGAAATT